CCCAGCCCGCCGCAGAACCCCTGGGTGCCCTCCGCTGCCCCAGCAGCTCGAGGTCCGTCAGGGCTAGAGCTTTTCTCCCAAGACCCCGCAGCAGGAACACTTGGCCTCCACGCTTCCACCTGCCGATCCCCAGCACCCAGGACCAGCCTCGGACCGCAGGATCAGCTCCCCCACTCAGCAAACCCCTTCAGGGAGCAGCACGAGTCTGCTCTGCGGGACGGGGCAGACGAGTGACGGAAAGCTCATGCTGTGTCTCTGTCACCACACCAGGGCCTGCCTTTCCGAAGGGATAATGGGGGGGGACAGAAATCGGGTCCCAGCCGGCAGCGTTGGCACTCGGGGTGCAGCAGCCTCGGGCTCTGCCCCGCTCCTTCTCCTGCAGCGCGGTATTCTGGGGAAATTCGAACGTTCAGCCCGACGGAGCATCGAGAACAGCGACACTGCCGAAGCGCAGCAGTTTGTCACCAGCCACCCCGGGAATCTGCAGGCAGGAGTCCCGAAGCCGTACCTGTTGGTTCAAAACAAGGGACAAAGGCAGCCTGGGATCGGCCTGAAAATACCCAAACACGCCAGCCTAAGATCCCTGAAGAGCACCCTTAACCTTTCCACTTCAAACAGATTGGGAACGCTGCTGTGAAAGGACAAGAAAGGAGAAGGCTGGCTGCTCCAGGCGCTCTGCCCGGAGAGCAGAGAGTACGGAAACCTCCGTAGGCAACTCCTGCCGAAGGGCTCTTCCAGCTGGAATTGCCCCCGACCGGCTGGTGCGGTACCAGTGCCCCGACGGCGTCAGTCACCCGCGTCTCCAAGAAGGGAAACGCAGAACTTGCCCCTCCCGGGCAGGAGAGTCACAACCAGCTGCTCCACCCAGACCCCAGCCTGCTGAGGAGGGAGCAGAATTCCGAGTGTGGTACCCTGCTTCCCAAACCCCGGCCAGGGCTGGGAAGGACGATTCGCCAGGCTGGCAGCCCCAGTAACCGCTGCGTCTAAAGAGAAGCCGAAGGGTCAGCGGATAATCGTTTTATTATACCCACAGTTAAAGGCATGGGGGGACTTGCACGCACAGTCCAGTTGGTTTGGGCGGGCGTTTTTTACGGAACACGTTTCCCTCGGAGCGTCCCCGCTGCCAGGCACCCGGGCAGTTCAGCGCACCAGGTACACGATGGTGTCGCCGATGTCCTTCGTCAGGCCGTTCTCAGAGATGCGGACGTGCTTCTCCTCCAGGTCAATGTGGAAGGTGGCTTGCTCCGGAATGGGCGTCTTCTCCGCTTCTTCTCTGCCGAGGACCGGGACACGGCGTGGCCCAAGCACAGGATCATCAAACCTCATCAGCTTCACCTTCGAGAGATCTGCGGCAAGGGAAAGGGCTCGTTAGGCCAGGGGATCTACACACAAGCCACAGCGTCGGCCAAAGCAATCAAAACTATGCTTCACCCTTGGCCCTTCAAGATATCTGCTCCCAGGAAATAGAGTCTCTTGGGAATAACACCAAGGTCGGGTTTACACCCCCAGCAAAGGTGTCCTTCAGTGGTTACATAGCAAGTTGCCAGTGGGAATGGGGATAAAGCACCCAGAAATGCCAACTCCCAGTCCCACACTGCGCACTAAGCCTGCCTTATCCGGTTTGGGGACAGCTGTCACTGAGCAGCTCGGGCATCGTTTTCTGAGGGAAGAATTTCAGGGAGTGGGAGAAAGATGAAGGGGAGAGACGTTTTAAACAATTCCCTGTTGGAATGCACACGAACAAAACACGGCTGAGCAGACCAAGGAAAAGCTAAGCCTTGCTACGGGGACAGCCTCCACGCCTGGGCACCAGCCCAACAGTGACACCTCCCTGAAAATGCAGATGAAGGGCTCACGGCTCAATCCCACTTGTTTCGTTCTTTCAAACCTGGCAGAGGGGTGGACACGCACACGCGTCTGTGGCACCGGACGCTCCCGCCACCCGAACACTGCACCCCTCATCGCCCGTCCCTCAGGCAGACACAACCCCGGGCTGCCGGGGACACGGGCACTGCTGCCGAGGCTGCAGGGAGGCCCAGCTCTGCTTCTGGCGCCGGTTCACGGTGCCTCATGATTGTTTGACTCCTGGCTGCTCCTTCTCCAGCAGCAGCACAGCTGCGGCTCCTCTGAAAGCCGCAACAACCAGCCAGCGGCCTGATGCTCCTTTTGACAATGGCCAACGTGGAGCTTTATCAGGCTGCTCTGCGTTCTCCCAAGACGTCTTTCCAAGCAGGTGGAACTTACCTTTGATCCCTCTATCCATCTTCATGAGGCGCCTGATCACTGTCTCTCTGCTGTCTCCTTGCCTGATCTCGATTTTTGTGGAGAAGTGGCCATTTGATGGCTGAGGGTTCACCAGAAACACGGACACGCTGGGCTGCGGGAGAGGGAACGCAGACGTTAACGGGAATCGGTGTCTGCGATCCAGGCCCCAGGGGAAACGCGGAACTCCAACAAACAAACATCAACCACCAAACAGGCAGGGTGCGCACACTCAGACACCGACTGCCGGGGCACTCCCACACCTCTTCAAACACAGCACACACAGGGGCTCAGGGCAAATTTTGGGAAATCCATCCTGTTGTTACTGTTGGAAAGCATCAGGGCTAGAAGCGCAGTGGCACGACGCCCCTGCGCAGTTCCACCGAGCTCATGCATCGCATGCGGTCCTCCACGGTGCCACGACACAGCTGCAGGAAAACTTTGAGAGGCTTTACCTTTAAGCAACGGGATGCCACGTGTTAGCCCGTTACAAACTAACAGATAAGCACAGGAAGTACTGAAAAAAATCACTTCAGGATTTGGCAAACAATTGGAACTGGATGATCCTTAAGGCCCCTTGCAACCCAACCATTCTGTGATGCCACGGAAACCCATGATACCTTAGAACACGTGCACTGAGCCCCACGGCAACCCCCACAGAGCAGCAGCGGAGCCAGGCTTGTGCACGAGGCCTTCCCAGTTCTCAGGTTCCGGCCTGTGTTTCGCCAGGACTCCTCTACCTTATGCAAAGGGCGGGGGCGAGGCACAAGCTGAAGGAAACACGCCGATGCCCAGGTCGCCTGCTTGTAACAACCTTCCCATCGAATCACTGGACCCTGGAGACGGGAGGAGCCCTAAAGCTGGGGCACAGCCAGTGGCGTGCAGGGCTCTGCGCAGAGGAAACGAAAAACCCCACTGGCTTCAGATGTCCCTGGGTTTGAGGGGGTGTTGGATCAACGGCAAAGAAATCCAATGTTCCCGTCTGACTGAGTTTTTTAAATGCCCTATTTGCTTCTGTCTGTGGTTCTGGTTTGTTCTGGGGGTGTTTCTTCTTTAATTAAGTTTTCAGAATTCCAATATCCCAATTTCCGATCTTACCTCCGTTCTGAATACAGAAAAAGGTTTTCCAGGACAGCAGTCTTCTCTTATTTTATCTTCTGCTTCAGAGGCAAACTCCACTGCAATGTGATCCAGCTGTTAAAAACCAAAAGGGTGGGGACAGAAAGAAACGGGAAGTTAATCGTTTTGGGGGAACAGCAGGAGTTACCAGGCCTGTCCAACAACTGCCCCCAGTAAGGTAGGAAGTAAAGGTCACACTCTCCAGGGTCCCCCAGCCACCTTGGTGGTCCTTCTGCCCCACAGCCACACGTCCTCAAAGCCTTCTAACCTGGGGGGGTACCACACTGACACACAGCCCAGAGCGGGGCTGGGCACAGCCGAGCGGCATGGGACGACTTCCCCTGCCCTGCCCCATCACGACCCACACAGGCACCTCCTCCTCGCACGGCTCACACACGGGCCCACAGCGCGTGGCACTG